AATGAAGACAGTGCATTATAGAGCCGCACAGGCATCCAGGTGCATGATTACCAGTTTTTTGCATGAAGTCCGGTCGTTTTTTCGGTAAATTATCGCTTTGTGAAAAAATGACAAATACAAATTTTTTGAAAAAATGCAAGTTTCCAGTCCATGAGGAATTGGAAGTATTGTTCGAACGCATAAAAACCGTCATCAGTAGAGGACTTCCCTGTTTATGAAAGTGATGCTTAGGTGGGATAGTTGAAAGGAGTAAGTCCGAAGATTTGCTCAAAAATTCCACACTATAATTCCAGTGTACCGCCAGCAGCCTGCAGCTGTGCATAACACTTGCATTTCCGTTTTTTTTGCCCCCAAATTTCACAGAAGCAACGGCTGATTCCATCCCCATGTCTACCCCTGTTATTGCTCGCTTTGTACCCTGCAATGGAACTTATTCGCTCTCAGCTCTGCCTAAGCATCAGCTTCATGAATAGGGAAGCCCCCAATGAAGACGGGTTTTTTTGTAGGATATTTTCCGCTTGCATAGGCTCAGTTTTTTCATTTTTACTTTTATTCATAAGCACAGGTTTGCTTTAATTTACTTCGTAGTCCTGTGTTGTTTCTTCCCTTTTACTGCTGTCTCCAGTTCTTGCTTCGAGCTCCTGACCTGTATCCGCGTTCCCCCTTCTCTGCTCTGTCCTCAAATCCTGCCCGCAAAGCAACATCTGAGCTCCTTTCCATCCCCCGCTATAAGGGCACCCTGGAAGCAAGCAATATTTCAGCCCTTCCCCTGTTCCGGGTATCTGCGGCGAAAACCAGCAGCACATTTCCTCCTTCTTTCCACCTACCATCTTCCCCTCCCCGCTTTTTTCCACTCCTCTGCCCTCCAAATGCCCATTACCTAGCCAACCGACAAAGGATCTACACCATACAGCCATTAAATCCAGCTACCCCACCCGTCACAATTGAACTCCCATCACTCCCCCGTGGGTAGCTCTACCCGCCATCTCCAGGGGAATTTTTCGCAAATCGTGTATGACACCAGCCAAGCCGAGCTGAGTTTTAGTAATTCACACATCGGCTGAAGCCGAGCCGTGTTTAGTAGTTGCTGGTTCGTCCTATTTACCATAGTGTCAGGCTTCTCCTTTGTTTTTTATTTTTTTGATGTTTTTATTCGTAAATTTGCACTTTTCCTTTGTTTTTACTTTTTTTTCTCACTTTCTTATAAGCTCACGTTTGCCTTAATTTATCTTCCTTTGTAGTGCTGTGTTGTCTCGTTCTCTTTACTGCTGTCTCCAGTTCTTGCCTCGAGCTCCTGACTTCTGTCCTCGTTTTCCTCAATCCTTAGTTCTTTCCAGTTTTCTATAACTGCAAAATCCGGCCCCTTCCCTCCCTCAGATCTCCGTGGCTCAAACCAGCACCATACCTCCACTCTTTCCCATTCATCATCCCTTAAAACTACGTCATCCAGCCAGTAAACCCATAAAGGATTTCATATTCCACGGCCGAGCTGAGTTTATTAGTTTTCAGCCGTAGCTTCTTCCCTTCTCTGGGCTTCTGCATTCTAAATCCACACCATTCCGCCCTTCTCTTCCACACAACATTCCCCAAATCTGCGGTAATCGTCCGTATGGGAAATCGTATACCTCAATTGAGTTCCGACTTTTAATTACGCCAGACCTAAGGCACTTCAAAGATATTTGTAGCAAAGCGGCTATTTCGCTTACCAGGCAAACTGTAAAACTGAAACTTTGCGAGGATATTCAGTGTTCAGATGTAAGAACACCAAACCCACAAAAGAGTGCGGTTGGCTGCCCTATCCTCTCCCCTGCACGGGACTTGTACCACAAGACCCCTCTTCTCATCAGCCTTCTGGAAATTCTCGACATACCCAATGCTTGGGGGCGACGTTTCCCTTCATAAACAACAGTTTTCGTGATTCGTGCAACAGCTCGGCCAAGCCGAGCGGAGCCGAGCCGAGTTCTTGCAGTTGCCAAATTTCAGGGATGCTAAAGAATAGGGTGACAAGAAGTCCTAGTCCACCGGCTACCTACGAGAAATATTTGGATGATTTCGAGGAATGCGATGATGTGCAAGTGTTGCCGAGCACAAGTAGTGGTGTACAACAGAGCAGCAGCAGCAGCAGTAGCAAGGTAAGCCTTATTTCTTCCATTGAAAGTGCTTCAGAAGTTTTTTTTTTTCAGTTGCTAGTTTCTTCTCGCCATTGATGCAATTGAAACAACAACTTCCTCCC